GTCCCAGCCCGGGCGCGGGCTGGTGAGCCGAGGCGCGAGGCTGCCAAGGGCCTCGCTCTGCCAAGCTCCCGCACGGACCGCAGGCTGCCCCTCGGCCCGGCCTCCTATAGCAACTCCAAACCCAGGTCCCAGCTCCGGGAAGGGCTAGAGCAAACTTCCACTGGTCTGGAGGATGCTCCGAAACCCATGCTGAACTCTGCAGGACCCGGAGAGAGTTATTCAGTGAGATGCCCTGGCCTGACCAAGAGTCCTTGAGGCTCCTCACGCTCAGCCCTGGTGCCAAGATGGGCAAAAACTTGTGCCCCACCAGAGGCTGCATTTTATATTCTGGCTTCTTGAAAGCAGCTGGGAGCATCTACAGAGCCGGCGGCGGGATGCAAGGTGGGAGAGACATCCCCAGTCACTCTGTGCTGCAACATGGGCAGGGGGTCGAACGGGCTGCGGCCCCGCTGGCAGCCGGGCAACGCGTCTCTGCAGGGTGCAGCCAGCGGGACATCTCAAATCAAGCCCAGCAGCTTCAGACAGAGATGGGATTTTACACGGGGCTGGGACTGGAAGGAAACAGTCCTGCTAGGAGACGGGTCCGATGATGGGAAAGGAGGCTGGAAAACAGGGCAGAGCGTGAGGTTGCCCGAGCCTGGGAACCAAGCGCAGGGGCGCGCGGGAAGGCAAATCCAACAGGCAGGCAAGGAGACTCCATCCCATGCGGCACGCACCGAAGCCATGGCAACACCTGCTGCAAGAGCAGCAAAGCCCTGCCACGAGGCTGTGCCCAAGCCGGGGCTGCCCTGGCCCCGGTGACATCGCTGCCGAGCGGGTTTGGGGGAGCAGCACTCGGTCACGGCCATGCTACAGGGCCGGGAGAGCTGCAGCACGGCCCGCGGGTCTGCGCTGGCCTCCCCCAGTGGAAGAGCTCTTTGGAGAGCCCCTGGCACCAAAACATACCATGAGACCCACGAAGCCTCTGCCTCCAGGCGGTTAGTGCAGCTGCAGCCGCCACGGTTATGAAAGGCTCCCACCCACGAACCTCGCGTGCCCCGGCAGTCTCCGCAAGACCTTGCTCCTTCTAGATGCAACACACAGGGGAAGTGTTTCGGCAGTATCCCAACCGGCTGGACACAAATAACTTCCCTTCTGCAAAGGGCAGCAGCCCCGTCAGCCTCGCCACCATCACCTGTGCTATGCCAGCACACTCAGCTCTTGGAGATCCCCAAGAAAAAACACGTGCTAGAATCGGCTCACCTCCACGGCTGTCTTCCCCACGCTACGGATCCCTCTTGTCGTGCGGACGGTGCCCTCAGATACCTCCCAGACTCTCCACCAAACGCTCTCCTTTCTGCACGCCGCCCCCCCCCCCGCCAGCAGCCTGGGGCAGACCATGGCCCACTGTCCCCTCTGCAGGGACAGCCCCAGCCGGCAAACGGGCCCTGCGTGGCTCCTACGAGCCTGAACCAGCTTTCGGCTCTGTTCAAAACTTAGCTCGCAGAGGACAAGTGCAGCCAGGACCGCGGTGCGGAGGTCCCCGCTAAGAGAGGCAGAGCCAGGGCTGCACCCAGGGAGCGGGGAAGGCACCCTGCAGAGGAGAGGTGCGCTCCCGGCGGCCGGCCGCCCCGCGGGGCTCGCTCCTCCCGGCACCACTTGAGCTACTGGCCTGGGCCGCGTTTGCCGATATTGCAGTCGGCCTCCAGCCAGGCTGGGTTTGTGGCCGGCCGAGCGGCCGG